ATGGACTTCACCGAACCTGGAGTTACCACCGCTCGCATCCCCAGAATTCATTTGGGCCATGGCTGCTGTCACGGCCGCGGTCACCGCTGTTTGGAATAGCACTGGATCGATCTGCGGGGACGAGGTGGTGGAGTAGGGGTTTGAGTTGCGGGTCTTCCTCTACTGGGACGCTTTCGTGGAGGCATCCTTTACTGGAAGAATTATAGAAATGATAGCAATAGTAAGAGCCTATTACGAATATAAATAGAGTGTTTCGTGGATTAAATCAACATAATCCAATATCAGGATGAGAGTTATAGCAATAGAGAAATCAACTGCCAATACATTGGTATTAATGATGCAACACAAGTTCATGAAAATTTGACCTAGCAATAGGTCTTACATCATACCATAGAGAAAATGTTGGCAGTTTAGAGGTTTAACTAGAGTACTTTCAAGCTAGGAATGTTTACAGATAATAGATCTACGGAACATAGAGTGAAAAGGTTAATCCATTAAACAAAAGATTGCGGTAACTAGACGTCTTCTACTGGCGACGGTTACTTGTTGGGCGAATCCTCAGATCTGCAAGCTGACGCATAACTTCTTGAAGGTGTCGATCATGAGTCCTTTGGCGTGCACGGAGTTCTCCAACTTCGGCTCGAGATGCAGCCAGCTGGTGCTGCAGAGCCTCGTTAGTCCTCCTTGTCCTGTCCATGGCTTCTTCGAGTTGGCGGATGCGAACTGTGTTGAGATTTGAGTTGGCATCCACTTCTACAACTCAACCTATTGCAGCTTGACCTTGCTCGACATTCCTGGCAATCCTTCAGATCATGATGGGCAGAACCTGATCTGCTGATCCTCCTTCGTTTATGTTGTAGAAACTTCGGTCTCCATTGTATGGCATGGGTTGACCCTGCTCTTCGCTCCATCTGTGCAAGGATATGGCCCACATAGGAGTGGGGCCCTGAAATGTCGGACGGGGGAATGGGGTTCGGAACTCCTGGAGGTAGGTTATTAACTTCTAGCTCGGAGTCGGAGTTATCCGGAAAGCCTTCTGCTCGGTGGTCATCCAAAGGGATTGGATGATCATCGTCCGACTCTTCACTGAGCCATCCCCCATTACCCTGGTTTGGGTAGTACGGGTCGCCAGGAGGGTGGAAGCCAGCCATGGTATTTATGCGAGAAAAGGGGAAAAGAATATTAATAGGCGCACTAACCTAAATTACTTATAAGATGGTCGTCACGAGTTGGGCCAATACTTGCATAATGCATACTAATTACATGTGACTGGGGTAGGATAGTCCGTCGAGTAAGTGACCCTAACTCTAAATCCACAACCAAACAAGTAACAGGAAGTAAAGCAAAGATCACAGATTCTAAGTCTATAACGCCCTAGTCACATGTAACCGGAAAGTATCCATTTAGAAACTATTGCTCCATCAGTAACGACCCTTTTTAGTTCTCACAGATGTATGTTTTTAGAGGTACAGAATACTCCTATAGTATTCTAATGTTAACGTTATTGTGGTAGTGTTGGTAAGTTTTAGACTTGTTGTAACACCACAACCAAGCTTAGGCACATGCTAGTCACTCCCAGGAAAATGTAGTTGATAAGGCTACATCCCCCTAAATGTGACTATATGTCTCTAAACCCAATTGTGCTATCCAACAATCTTAATACTTTTGTTTGGTTCTAAGATGATACTGACTTCTGTGTTTTATAGTGATGTGTGTATATATATACTTAGTTAAATCTTTTAGATACTTAATAGTATATATTCTTGGTCAGAGTGTTTTAATCCTGAAGTGTTTATAGTTTGTATATCTTTTATAGGTTGATATACTTGATTCACTATAAACAATGCTCTGATACCAATCTGTCACACCCCAAAACCGATAACGGCGGAATACGTTTCGGGGTGGATGACGTAGTGTACAGTATCATCACAATTGTATAATAGTAAAAGCAAGAAACATACAACCATTTCATTTACATAGTAAGTGTATTTACAAGTGTGTTTTGTAATGTTTGACAAACACCAAAAGTAAACAAAAATAAGAGATGGGTCTTGCATGCTCCATCTTCTCCAAAAATGTTGCAGTTGTACCTGTCTATCTTTGACCTGAAGATACAAGTTATTTTGAAAAGAATATCAGCATAAAGCTGGTGAGTTCATAAGAGTTTAGTGTGATTCTTTATAAAAACATTAGAATCATTAGTATGAAAACTGAAGTTTGTAATCATAACTAGTGGTAAAACCTAGAAAATCCTATATTTTCCAGAACTGTATAGTAAATGAAAATCTTTAAGAAATATATTGTTTCTATCTTTGAAAGCCATTTATCGTAGAAGTGTAATAGTGACTCACCATTAAGTAAGACAATATAGTGAGTTATTCTTGGAGTACATAATAGTGGTGCAGCATCCTTTAGTATTAGATACTTATTTACTTCGGGATATTACTTCATCTTTCTTTAGTATTTTAGTGCGGTTAGTGTCTTTCTTGTATGTTACCAATAGTGTGAGTAATAGCGGACCTCATGACCTTCCCTGTCATGCATAGTGTAGTAGAGTAAAGGCATCCCTGGACCTGAGCGGCTCGGACTGAAGTTATCAGTCGGGATGTAATAGCGCCTGCCCCGTATAGATCTATACATATAGTGTCGTCTTCCTATCGGAAAACTTCGGGCGTAGTGTGTAGCGTATAGAGTATCTCGTAGTGGATTAATGAATTATCTCATGATTAGTACATTCTCTTGTATTATAGTGTAGTAGTCTTTTGTATAACTTGTATTGTATTCTCTTATTAGTGTATTGCTTCATAATAGAGAGAATTATAGTAGTGTAGAGTAGTGGTTAAAACAAGGGATAGAGTCCTTAACTATACCTATTATAGTTAAATTAGTGTGTGTAGTTCTAGTCAGGTTAGTGATTTAGGCATCTAATGAAATAAGAAGTACTCGTAATCCGTACTAATATACGAGATATATAACTAAGAAATCAATGACAGTCGGACGGATAACCACTACCCTAAGCCCACAATCAAACAAGAAACAGGAAATAAGGCGAGCTATCGGTCCTAAGTCCTTCAAGTCTTACTTATATAAATATATTAGAGTGGTTACATTTTTATAAGGAGTTTTATTAAACAAAAGTGTTGTACAAAGAAACATTTAAAGCTTGTTTGTTTATCCAAGATAGTTTTGAAAACAATTGATTTATTTATAAAGCATAGTGATAAATCACATGTGATTTGAACTATACGTTGTGAATCACATGTGATTAATTCTGTAATATGAAAAATTGTCTTGTATAACTTTTAATAATCATGTATATTCAACTTGTATCTCCCCCCTAAAACATATAAAACATTTGAAAGGTTCATTAAAGGGGTATGAACTCACCTGAAATAGCGTAAATTGGGTGAATCGGGTAAATCGGGTAAAAGTGTCGGATGAGCGTTTTGTTCCAAATAATGACTTGTACACCTTTAGGACCCTAATGTCATATGAAAATATGTATTTTACAATAAATTAATCATTTTATGCTTTACGTTTAAGTATTGAGGCATTCTAGCATCAATTCGGGGTTTTAGGGCCTAGAAGGGGTTCCCGGGAGTGGTTTAAGGCTAAAGAGGACTTACGGAAGGATCCATGAGCTCACTCCCTTGGAGTTTACGGCCTAAAGGCCACTCCTTGGGAGTTTACGGCCGTAATCCCCCTAGGCTTGGCCGTAAGCTCATGTGGTCTTCCAAATTGCTTGTTTAAGGCCTTATTTCACTTCCTTACTTTAATAGCATGTTTCTTGGACCAATATGGAGCGATTAAACTCTTGTTTTGTGATATTTTGGGAAGTTTACAGCGAAGACTTGTTCTTGGGCCGTAAACTCCATTAAATCCTTCAAGATGGATGTTTAAATGGTACAACATGTTCTCATTCACCTTAGATAAATCCTAGAAGGCCTTTCAATGAGTTTTGGGACAATTTAGCATGAAATTTGGGGAGTTTACGGCCCAAGAATATCCTTGGCCGTAAACTCTTCATTTGGCCTCAAAATGGGAAGTTTAATGGTACAACACCCCTCCAAAAGCCTTAGCTAAATTCCTTACATGCATTTGAGGGGTTTTGGGACTTGTTTGACACAAAAACATGGGTGTTTACGTCCCAAGCTTAGCCTTGGCCATAAACTCCTCTTTTTGCCATCAAATGATGTTGTTTGATGCATTTAAGCCTTCCTTGTTGTCAAGTCTAATTTACCAAACACCCTAGATGAGTTTTTGGGACTTTAAACAAGGGTTTTTGGGGTGTTTGAGGTGTTTACGGCCTAATCACAAGCTTGGGCCGTAAACTCCTTTTTAAGCTCCAATTCTTTGTATTTTAGTGTCCAAAGTCTCCTAGGTTTATACCTCAATTAGTCCATAAGCTTAAAGGAAGGAAAAAGAAGGTCTTTGGCATGATTTTGGGGGTTTACGGCCTAAGGGGCTTCTTAGGCCGTAAACTCCATTTTGTTCCTTGTTTTCTTTGATTTTGGACTCTAAATGCAATAAAGTATGTTTAGATTAAGATAGGGAATGAATCCTTACATTTGGAAGTCGGAAATTCGCGGATTTGGGGTCGATTTCGGGTCTAGAGAGAGAAAGTAGTGAGAGAGAGGTGAAAGTGTGGTAAAAGAGTTCAATTGTAGTGTTCAATCGTTTTTATATGTCTCGGGTATTACACCCGATACACAGCTACCCGATGCTAAAGTGTAACGGTGTTAAAACTTTTTACCCGGGTGAAGTGGTTGAAAAGTAATATAATTCTATTTAGTTAAACGGGGTTGACATTTACAAGTTATAATTACTTATGATAATACCGGGACATATAATTAACTAGATATTTGTTTATTGACGACCCAAACAATACCGAGAAATAACATATAGTGACGCATTCCGTTAGTGAAAATAGGGTTTATAATGGCAATATATTTGGGGTTGTCACAAAAGTGCATGAGCAGGAGGGTTATAATGAGTTAAATATGAATGATATAGGAGATGGCGGTGAAGGAAATAGTTCACATGTTAGAGGATTGGTAATTAGTGAAGTTAATATAGAGAAAGATGTCAATTATAGTAGACCTGTTGATAACCAGTCTTTAACAATGAGTCAGTTTCATCGACTTCCAGGGGTGAATGATGAAATGATTCAGTTGTTGGAAGAAACTGAGTTACATGTGTATAGAAGGAAAAAGCTAATGTCAGGATTCAGTGGGGATAATGAGGTTGGAATAAATTTTGGAGAAGTTGTTGATAATGCTGCAGAAGATGCTGATAATGACAAAAGGGAAAAACATATCCCTAAAAAAGCAAAAATATTTCATTCCCCATATATTGAAAAAATTGTTAAGGTTGGGGATAAACTAATTAAGGATGAAACATGAGTATGCAATTCAGTTTTTGCATCTAATAGAGATGAAGGGTAACAATATATGAGTTGTTTGTTATTTTTTAGAATAGAAATGTGAACGTATGAAGATTGATTTTATTTATAATTTTTGTTATAGGGATGAGATTTGGGACATTGGAACAAGTCATTTGTTGCACCAGGGTTTTGCATTCCAATTTAATCAACGAATGTTTATACATTCTAAAGTAATTGACTGTTGGGCTAGGTTTTTAAATAAAATGGAGGACTACAATGATGAATCATCGCTGTCAAGATTTTTCTTCGATACAACTATTGTGGTAAAAAAAAATTTTAAACTAAGTTTAAATTCAAATTTATTTTTTTAGAATTAATATTGTCAGTGATGTAGGTTTTTACAGACAGAAGAGATATTGAATGAATTAAAGACGAAAGATATGAAATGTAGGATTTTTGCTACTCTGTTGCAAATCTACATTAAGAAATTTGATGTCAAGCCAAGTTTCAAAGATGTTGCGTTTGTAAGTATATTGAGTAAATGTATTAGTTTTTGCATCACTTAATATTAAACTAACTTTGTTTTTTAATGTATACAAGGTTTTCTTCTAAATAGTTGATGATGCGAAGTATTACTTACTGGTCTTTGATCTGAGATCAAGTTTATACTACATAGTAGATCATGTGAAGAGAACAAGAACCTTTGATAGGAAATATGGCATGATACCAAATTTGGTGGCAAGATATTGAATAAAATTTGGGACACATAGTTTTTCATTATAAAGATTGTTTTAAAACTATGTTTTATGTATTTGTTTTATTCAATGACAGAAAAAACTATTTTGCAACTACTTAGCATCATTACATCATCCAATGGCAAAAGCCTTAAGTTTTAAGGAGGGGCGGGTGATGAACATATCTTGGCAAGTAGAAAACTCTGGAATAGATTGTGGAGTCTACCTCATGAGGCATCTGGAAAGCTACATGGGGGAAAATGAAGGGCGTTGGGAGTGTGGTCTTACATGTAAAATTCCTGGTGATGTGAGTGCTATAATTAAGTTAAGAACGATATACATGGTAAGATTGTTGACAGCAGATTTCAACAAGTATAAGAGTATGATAGATAAAGATTTTGAAGCGTTTCGTAAGCTGGATATTTTGGATCAAAACTTTCTTCTTCAAGAATAAGTGGAAAATAGGATGAAAAAAAGAAAAGCGAGAGGCCGTCAGTAAGAATTTTAAGTGGTAGTTTGGTATTTTGAAGATAAGTATGGACATGATAGTATTTGAACTTTTTTTTGTGGTTGTTGAAACAAAATTCGGGTTAATGTTAGCTTCTAGAAAAAGTACTTTATCTTTCAGAAGGTTTGAATGATTGGTATCAATATGTAAACTTATATCTTGTAATGAAATGTTTGTTTTGGTTTAATGATTGTGTTGATGCATTGTTTCGTTTTGTGATTCATGATGTTGTGCATTGTGAAAAAGCGATTGCGGTAGAATGCTTAGTAGTTTAATGTTAATTTTTCGATGGGTTTTTTAGGAATAAAATTTAGTATTAAATTATTAAGTTGTTTTAAATTTAATACATGGTTGTTGTTAATAATGGATGTGTTGATGAATCCTTTTTAATTAAATGGTCAGATGTTGTATACCCGGGGTTTTTTTACACTTTTCTGATGCTGATAGAATATTATTATTATTATTATTATTATTATTATTATTATTATTATTATAGAATTTGTTATAGTATTTAATTTTCTATTAATGGGATGTAGATGAGAAATGTAGCTTTCAGTATAATGTAGCCTTTTTGAAATTAAATATGTGTGTATAAATGTGTAGTTCAGGAAAAAGCAATATAAAATTATGTTGGAATGAATATGTTACATAAATATGTGTGACATCTACATTTTTACGGTAAGAAAAGACCGATTTTGTTTATGATTTTTAAAAATCAGAGTATCTCTTTTAATAAAAACGTTACGGAATTTGTTCCCAGAAAAAACATGAAAATTTCTTTATCAAAGTATTTCCGAAGAAATGTATTTTTATTCATTATAAAACGTTTGGGATGTCGTTGTCACTACGAAAACTTAAGCATAAATAGAACTTACACTCATTTACACTAGTGATCTATATCTCCTTAATCTCTTAGTATAATGTAACTTCACCTCGTCACCTGTGATACAAGTAAAATGTGTGGGTTAGGTTGGGAAACTTGGTGAGTACATAGGGTTTTCAACCCATAATAATATAATTATTATGTTTAGTCATCAAACAATTAACCCAATTACCCATCCCCATTATTTTCTTTATTCCTAAGTACCTTCCCTAAGGATTTATCCTAAGGGTCATCTCCTACATAATATTTACCTCCCATCTCCTTACATCGCATTTCCTTATATGTTTGTTCCTAAGGACTCTCCCTAAGGATCATTGCCTACACCGGATAGACAGTATTGATTCAAGGATTACTCCCTCAATACGTGCCCAACAATGGTTAGGGCATCATCACATGAATACGTAGTTACAACATCACCTAAACTCGTAATTCGTAGTAAGGGGTTAGAGTATCGTCGCATGAATACGTAGTTACAACATCACCTGAACTCGTAATTCATCACCTACTGGCTATGATCCTGCTAGTGGTTCCACAGGGTTGTCTATAATAGTTCGTGGTCGCCATGTATACTCTACTACATCTCCAAATTGTCGGACAAATTTATAGTATCTTTCATCCTACATCACCGATTCATCATCACCTATGTATCCTTACCTAATTATCATCACTTATCTCTCATAATTTTATTTCATCACACATCAACTATTTCGTCTACCCATGTTTTATCCCAATATATTTGTAGAGCTATATTAAAAATAAAAGCTATATTAAAAATAGCGTAGGTTAACATATTCTTTGACTCCTTCATACTGACTCCATTTTCGGCTGTCTTTTTACCGTTGAGTTCCTATTAATGATATCTTCAAATCTCATTTAGGTCTCTTAAGCCAAAAACCGTTCGAACTAAAATTTGAGTTTCAGGCTGTGTACTACTAAGCCAAATTTTTGAAAAATCATAACTTCCTCCTACGAAGTCAGATTTGGACGTTCTTTTTATGGACGCTCTCAGGTTAACATATTCTTTGACTTTCATTTAGAACACTAAGGCTAAAATTCATTGTATCATAAATTTACTATTTACGTCTCCCCGGTGTCATGCCGGTTCCATCGCAAAAGTTCGATGGGTCATAACTTCTTCGTTATAACTCGGATTCTGGCGCTCTTTATATGTACAGAACCCTTGAGACATATTCTATAACTAGGTTAATATTATTTATTCTAAATAATCTTTCGTTGAAAAGTTGTTTTCAACCCCAATCATCTCTAAATTGACTAGCCTGGATCTACGATCATTACAATTATCTCCACCTTAGGATGATTACGTCCTGGAATCATCAACGAAACAATGGTCACATGATGTCTCCATATGTTATCTCTTCATCCTAAGTAATAATCGTAACTTTCATGTTTCTTCGAACGAGTATCTAACTCTAAGACTTCCTGACTACAGGCGGTGCCCGATCTTGGTCCCGCTCTCTATCTCATGTTAGATTTCCAATCATAATCTTTATGTCGCAATCTCAATCTTTATTGGAAACTATTTCTTTAACAAACTTGATATAAGTTTCTTCCTTCGAATATCATAATAGACTGACGGGTTATGTTCTACTGACCTGACATCGTATTATGCATTGCTTGGACTCAGGGCTTTTAGAGTCAAATTCCATATTAGAATATACCTTCCTTCATGTTCTAATCACATCTTTAAAGTTAGTGTTTCTAGCTAAAAGCAAGTATCGCGATACCTCTACCGATCGCTTTGATTATCTTTTATTTCAATCTTTCGACTTAAGTCATATGCTACATCAAACTTGGTTCTTTGAACCACATAACATACTCCTCGTAGTCGGACTCAATTAGATATGATACTACGGTCGAAATAACAATCATCTTCTTAGTCATTACCGAAATGATGGTAACAACATACTTGAATAAAACGAAATGAATTACTAGTTTCTTGGTAACCTTGTGACTTTCCCTGATCGAAGCGTGAGTCCTGTGCTTCTTGTAGTATATGAATCTACTACCTTGCACACCTACTCATACTCGTCCCAAGTATTGTCTCGCAATTTTCCAATTAACCATAAAAAATAACATAACAATTTGACACATCAGATAACAAAATGAAGGTTTTATATTATCCCTTCAGAGGATTACATAGGTGTACAATTTCAACCTATACTATGCCTCTAATAGGCTACACCTCCTTATACTATCCGCATGACTTCTTCATAACTTGATCGTTGGATATCCATCCTCACTCCTGATTCCTTGCATTTGGAATGCTCTTCCTTTTGGCTTTAGCAGCGCATTTTGTGTTGCAGCTTCGCTTTTCTTTGGATAGTTCTTAGAAATATGGCCATCATTTCCACATTTGTAGCACTTCTTTTTGTCGAATGTACAATCTCTGGAATAATGACCGGTCCTACCACACTTATAGCACGTCACTTCTCCATCGCATCTTCCGAAGTGATTCTTTTTGCACTTCTCACACCATCTTGCTTCACCTCCTTCTCCTCCAGACTTTTGTAATTTTCTCTCCTTGTTAGACCTTAAAGATCCTTCATACTTCCTTTTCTCGCCAACTTCAGCTCTCTCCATACCCTTCTCTCTTATCTGGGTCTCCACATGCTTAGCAGCCCAGATGGCTGCTTTCAGAGTGGTTGCTTGCTTGACCATTGGACCAAAGTCCGCTGGTAATCCATGGGCAAACTTGTTGACCTTGGAGAGCTCACTTGGAACTAGATAAGGAACGAGCTTCATCTTCTCCGTAAAACTTGCAGCATACTCAGTGACACTCATCCTCCCCTTCTTCAGATTCTGGAATTCATTGTTGATCTCCAGAAGATCCTGTTCAGAGCAGTACTACATAATTAATTTCACTAGGAAATCTTCCCAAGACATTTTGCTTGCTTCTCCCTTGGGCATCGTATTAGCTAGTAGCTTCCACCAACTCAGTACTCTAGACTTTAAGAGAGGGACCACAAGCCCGGTCTTTTGCAACTCTCAAACATTGTCTCCATCTCGGAGATCCAATCCATAACTTCCACCGGTGATGGGCTTCCAGAAAGACTCAAGGGTTTGGATGCCATGAAATCCTTGTACTTGCATCCACGTTAGTCATTTCCTCCATCCTGATTGTTTTTTTCTAACTATCGGTGGGTTTTCTTAACCAACCGTCCCACTGTAGTTCCCTCCTTCTGACTGTCCATCATTCAGCTCGGGCTGTTCAACAGGCATCGTAAGTTCCTCTTGATTTTGTTGAAGTAAATGCCTTGTTTCCTTCATTTTACCCCGACCATGGTGATTGACTTGGGTGCGGTTACTACAATAGGTATTTGTTCAATCACTGGGGGCTGTTGATTCCTATTTCCATTCGTGTTCCAAACTCCACTTCGGGTTCTTGTCATTTCGATCTATAAACCAACTCATATGGTCGGTGTGTAATGATGAGAATTAAGATTGGAAAGATTTTATCTATGATTGACGTATAATCCCCTTATCTCTCCAAAAATTTATATGCCAGTTCTAATACTGTAATTAAACGTTTAGAAACCTGAACAAATAAAGTTTCCAGATCCGGTCGGAAATAGACCATAGATCCGAACAAACAACAACATATCAGACACAAAGCATTTAGCACATAAAAGCATTTTTAGGCACAATTCCTAAAATAAGCTAGTGCTCACATCTCACAGTCACTGCTTAACATTCTAAGTTTATGTCTAGAAATCCTACAAATTCCTAGTTCGCTTAAACTAATGCTCTGATACCAACTATGACATCCCCGTTTTCACGGCCAGAAAAGACCGATTTTGTTTATGCTTTATAAAAATAAGAGCATCTCTTTTAATAAAAATGTTGCGAAATTTGTTTGCAGAAAAACATGATAATTTCATTATCAAAGCATTTCCGAAGAAATGTATTTTTATTCATTTTAAAACATTTGGGATGTCATCGTCAATACAGAAACATCAGCATAAACAGAACTTACATTCATTTACACTAGTGATAGATATCTCCTTAATCTCTTAGTGTAATGTAACTTCACCTCGTCACCTGT